TGGGTCAGTCTACAGTACATACTTACATATATGACGTAGTGAGTGAATTTGCAGTACATACGAACGTTTTCCTGAAACCTTATTCTGGCTGGTTTGTTTGTTGTTTAACGCTGCACACAGCAATCTCCCAGCTATTTGGGGCAACCGAAAAGGAAACACAATGTCTACAAGTAGGAGTAGGATAAGTAGAAATAAAAGTGAGAAAACATGATTGATTGCTTGGTGGTTTAGTCATTGCGACCAATCGTCAATTATTTCAAATAATCGAACCTCCACTAATGAGCACTAGAAGTAAGTATACACAAATACAGTAAATAATCTTTAGTGATACAACATACTAGTCCATGACTAATGAATTTTAAATAGCATCATCAATATAACGTATGTGAAATCTGGGAATATAACATATGTTATAATTGGAAATCATCAATATATGTGATACTTAGGGTAAACAGACATTACGCAAAGGTAGTCTCATGAGTTAATATGTTCGTGACCACTCTCCTTTCTTTAAACTGCCACGAGACTCACCCCTGTCGCTCAATGTGCTTTGAGAAAATACGACATACCAAACAGACTGCGTGTAACGATTGAGTATTCGGGTGAAAATAATTATGATTACTTGAATCAAGTATGGCAGCAGATGATCGATTTAACAACAGGATCGTGTTGCATGAATTAACGTTGTTAAACACACATTGACGATGACACCATTCAAATCCGCACACGTGTGGTTTCTATAAAATGGTTCCCAAGGTGTTCTATCAAGGCTTTTCAAGGACAAATTATTTCCACATACAAAATGAAATTGATTCTAGTGATTTGAATACCCTTCAGTTTTCAAAAAACTATATAATGTGTCAAAAATTATTCAGCTTCAATCTTAATAGTATGCTTATAAAGTGAAAATAAGACATTCAGGAAATATTGGAATTTTTCTCAGATAACATTAAGAATCAAAATGAAAGTTCTCTTCTCAAGAAATATCGGTTTTGTCTGCGTTAATTTTGCGATATTGCGTTGTTACCTTCCGGGTAACAATCGGCAGTCTTGTGAGTGTGAACGGTTATAAGATCAGCAGTAAATTTGTTCACACATGATCAATAGCGCATTAAATGGTATATTTATTTGTTTGATTTACGACACAGTCAGCAATCTTCCACCTGGTGGCTGTCTGAAATCAGTCGAGCCTGGACCAAACAGTCCAGTGATTGACCACGTGATTATCAATCTGTGCAACTGGGATACCATGACATACATCAAGCAGTGTCAGAGCCTAGCCACCCGACCCCTCAGTCGATTCGTGACAAAAACATGAGCTGCTGAAGACCAATTCTAACTGGGATCTTCACAGATGCTTTTGATATTATTTTGCACGTGGTTTTGTTTCTTTCATCTATTCTGGTAATGTACTTACGCTGCACACGTTGCTACGCAACCACCCATATGTGAAAACTGTCAAAAACTAAGCATGTATATGAAGTGTTACATGTTTACAGATTTTACGTCGGTAGTACAGTTCAGTACAGTACAGTACAGTACAGTACAAGTAGCTTCATAGTACACTAGTAGTGTTTCCTTGATCACATTGTCGAATATAATGCTGTTCACACATATCTAAATGGTCAAACTAAGCATATATATAAAGTGTTTACATGTTACACAAATCTGTTGATAAAAGTTTAATTATTGGCAAATAATGTATGGAAGGAGGACCAGAAGCTAAAACATTTGGCATAATTACAATTTGAAAAAGCTATCATTTTTGTTGCTTCATACTATTTGATGACTTCTGCTTTAATATATCTAATATTCAGAGTTTGCTTTTTTCTGCTTCTTCTATAGATAACTTCTTTAACCAAGATTACAGCATTCAATGGATTATTGTGTTTGCCTTTAAATCCAAATATAATATTCTCTAGAGAAAAATTCATTTCACCCTCTGAAACAGTTCTAAGCCATTTTTCCACTTCCTTCCATATCTTTTTCACATGAAAGCATTCGAACAGCAGGTGTACCATGGTTTCTGAATCTTGTCCACAGAATGTACATAAGTGTGATTCAGATATTCCTATCTTGTACAAGAAGCTATTTGTTGCTAAAATAATATTCACTATTTTAAATTGGAACCATCTCATATTCACACTCTCTGTACATCTATAAGACATCAGATTAATATTTTCTTGTTTTGATCTATCGATTATTCTATTCAAACACTTTTGTCATTTTTCCTGTGCATCTGTACTGAAGTCTGGAGCAAATGAAATCTGATAAAACATTTTACTACCCTTTTGTGTATTGATTATGCTGTATACATTAAATGGTAGAGTAGGATCATATACCCTTTCTTTGTCATCATTAATCAATCAATCTCGCCCAGTTTTACAATATAATGTTAAGAATAGTCATAGTTTAATGTTTTAGATCTATATCTGCGATCCCCTACTTATAACGCTGACCATTGTTGACATTTTTACAGTTATGTTAAGGGTACATATTATTCATATGAAAGTAGTGTAAATTACACTGACGTGAAGATCTTTCTTGTTACTGACCAACTTCTAACATGACAATTGAACCGATCGCCTTAGCTCTTGACCAGAAGGTGATTTCCGACAGTAAGTAATTTCAAAGAGTTGTACACCCGTTCACATGGCTTCACAATGCAGACCAGTCACGTCTGTTGTGTGATTATTGCAAGCGAAGGTCAGTGTGACAAAACCGTCCCATCCGTGTGTGCATTTGAATCTTATTCACAAAAAAACTCTTGTCGTCCATGACAGGCTGAAAATAACAAACGCACTAACAAGTTGTCAAGGGCAACGCAACACAACATTGCCTTCAACTTAACGTGCTTTGTCAGTCTGCACAATTGCAGCTTTAAGTTCACGCCATGGCTACAACTGAATGCGTTTACAGCTTTCCCTTTGCCGGATGGCTTTAGGCACTGCCTCGTTAAATTGGTGCACTTATGCGCATTCAGAGTAGTGATCTTGATGAAGTGTGTGTGTGTGTTTCTTTCTTTCTGTTACTTAGATGCTGATATTGTATTGTATGAAGCCAATGGTCACTATGAATTCCGGTAGATGAGTTTCTTAGAAAACCTTCTAGAGTACAAGCCTCTTGCTCTAAAAGCCTGGAACTGCCGATTTGGGAAAATTGTTTGAAACTTCAAATAAGTCAAACTTGAAGCCCATAACAAGAAAATATTGATCATGTACCTAGGTAAGGGTGGATATTTTCGATGATGATACTTTGAGCTTGACTGATGAAAATACTATATGGTGACTGATTAGAGCCATTGTCGTATCCCCGTAACACATCCACGCTACATCATAACAAAGTGATATTACTATACGGGCTTTCCAAAGATATTTTCTTAGGAAAAAGGCCACAACTCTACTAAGCCACCAGTAGAAATCTGAGATCGATACTGCCATTTAAGGTGAACGATCAAGTGAGTTCAGGTTTTCTACGTTGCGTCGGCAATTATGCAATTATATATGTGAGTTAGTTTTCATGAAGAATGCTGCTGTAGTTTACTTCAGTTGTAATATATATAATCAATATGGAATTTCCAACAATTGCATTTACGATGTAAATGTTAATTGAAAATATATTCAACGCTTTGGGATTGTAAATGATCTTCATCTGTATTTTTGAAACATCTGTGTTTTTGATGAAAGCAATATATCCTCGGCCCTATCTAATTGTTTGTTGTATCTTCAAGCAATATATCCTCGGTGCTATCTACTTGGATGTTGTGTCTTCAAACAATATATCCTCGGCCCTATCTAATTGTTTGTTGTATCTTCAAGCAATATATCCTCGGTGTTATCTACTTGGATGTTGTGTCGTCAAACAATATATCCTCGGTATTATCTATTTGTTGCGTCTTCAAGCAATATATCCTCGGCCCTATCTACTTGTTTGTTGTATCTTCAAGCAATATATCCTCGGCACTATCTACTTGTTTGTTGTGTCTTCAAGCGATATATCCTCGGTCCTATCTATTTGTTTGTTGTATCTTCAAGCAATATATCCTCGGTCCTATCTACTTGGATGTTGTGTTTTCAAGCAATATATACTCGGTCTTATTTACTTGTTTGTTGTGTCTTCAAGCAATATATCCTCGGTCTTATTTACTTGTTTGTTGTGTCTTCAAGCAATATATCCTCGGTCTTATTTATTTGTCTGTTGTGTCTTCAAGCAATATATCCTCGGTCACATCTACTTGGATGTTGTGTCTTCAAGCAATATATCCTCGGTCTTATTTATTTGTTTGTTGTGTCTTCAAACAATATATCCTCGGTCACATCTACTTGGATGTTGTGTCTTCAAGCAATATATCCTCGGTCTTATTTATTTGTTTGTTGTGTCTTCAAGCAATATATCCTCGGTCACATCTACTTGATGTTGTGTCTTCAAGCAATATATCCTTGGTCTTATTTATTTGTTTGTTGTGTCTTCAAGCAATATATCCTCGGTCACATCTACTTGGATGTTGTGTCTTCAAGCAATATATCCTCGGTCTTATTTATTTGTTTGTTGTGTCTTCAAACAATATATCCTCGGTCACATCTACTTGGATGTTGTGTCTTCAAGCAATATATCCTTGGTCTTATTTATTTGTTTGTTGTGTCTTCAAACAATATATCCTCGGTCACATATACTTGGATGTTGTGTCTTCAAGCAATATATCCTCGGTCTTATTTATTTGTTTGTTGTGTCTTCAAGCAATATATCCTCGGTCACATCTACTTGTTTGTTGTGTCTTCAAACACTGTATCCTCTGCCACATCTACCTGGATGTGTTGATACATATCACTTACATCATTGCAGATTATACACTGACGCAGAAATGGTATATTGCACTTTAAATATCAAGTTTTCTAGCGATAAACCACACATTACATGGTTCCAGCTCCAGTACGAATCGCCAGTCACGTGAATGTGAATGACCGTATTCAGCAGTCAACTTGATCAAATAAAATAAAAAGCACAAATATAGTTTGTTTGCCTGTTGTTTAACAGCTATATGATGGTGGCCTGGACAAGACTATTGATTAACATCGATCGTCGCAACTGGAACACAATGACATTCAGTATCCCGACAGCCAGTAAGCCCGTACATCTGAATACTATTCCCAACCCTAATCTTCATGGCTGCTTTAAATTCTACATGTTCTCGCTATTTCTTTCAATTCATAGTGGTAATGTACAGTCGGTTTGTCTCCAAATGAGAACGATGGATTAGAAAAGAATTCAAAAATCAGGAATAATCCATCCAGTGTGCACAAGGTGCACCCAAGAACCAATGAGGTCTGCTGTTTGTTATTTTCACACCATCACTGGAAAAAGTTGGGTTAGAAATTATCATGGTGTTATAAATGCAAGTTGACATCGTGAAGGGGATGACACAATGGTAGGATGAACAACGTAAACATCCACTACACCTATTACATAGTAGTATGCGTCGTTCTTGACTGACAAGATTGTCGGATGTCAGTTGATGTAAAATGTTTAAAGTGTAAAATGTCTTTCAACATGAAGAAGTGAAAGAGGGAAAATACTTGATGCCATTAACGAATAATTGAAACGAGCTCCGAAACTTCATTGCTTCCAAAACATAAAAACATTATGTGGGGTTGATAAATAAGAAAATCAAATCAAACGTGCAATTGTTAAAGTAGTAGAAATAAATACGAGTAATAAAACGTATACAAAGATTTTATTACTACAAAATACAAGCCATGTACGTTTTTTTAATACATTTGGATGCAGACATAAGTTCTTAAAGAGTGGAAATGTCTTTCAACTCGGATATCATTATCTTGCCACCATCAACCAAAAATGTAACGAATGAGCCTGTTTTTAATGAATGTTGACCATGTTTTCTCCCAGCCTGACATTGCCTTTCTCACCAAGGCCAGGAACGACCGGGACCATCACACAGAAACAAATGGCAAGATATTTAATTTAATGAGTGACATTGGTCAGTGCTTTGCTTGCCATGACCCTTATTGTCTTGGACAATGCATCATATTATGGTATGCAGGACCCAGACAGCAAGGCCCTGACATCTAATAATCTAAATGGAGTTATGGTGACGTGGCTGGATAACAAACCTTTGCTTCTTCCAGGGCTGCAATGAAATCTAACAACTCTGAGCAAGTGCGTATACGACTAAACACAAAATTCAAATTGCGGGGTTTTGAAAAGCTAATAAATGAATCCCCTGTTCTGGTAGCAGTAGACACATGACAGCGCTGCGCTACTCAAATCGTCAACGAGATAGAATCAAGAGTCTTGTCACAAGAAGGACTTCGCCAAGCATCAGTCATAGCTATAGTTGTGATCATCAGCAGTGACAGAAGATATTCCCAGGAATAGGTTTGTGACATGAGTGAGTAAGATTTCACTAAAATTTCATGAAGTGACTCATCGTTTGCTGCAATCTCGTGACCTACAGTGTATCAAGAGTAATTGGTGTTTGGGATGATCCTCCTACCTAACATTATCCCACCACAAACACGCCCCAATAACTCCCATTAAAATTGTCAAATCTACAGCTAAGATGATTGCATAACACTTAACCTTTGTTAAATTGGCGATCTATTAATAACTGTATTATATGTATAGTTAGTGGAAGAAGCATATTAGTTAAAATGACTCCATAATGTTTTCATCATTCCCAGCTAGGACGTCCTGCAAGAGTTTCCGGAAGTTATTCATGCTTGACATTTCCTTAGTCTGGACTACGAGGGGCAAAGAACAAACGAAACAATATTGTGTTCACTTGGATGCTGAATACTTCACAATATATCACTGGCACATGCATTAATCTATCGCACACTTTATATTCAACATTGTTGTATTAATACCCATATCCCAATACACGTTCAAACTGGCGAACTGTCTATTTTAGACTGAAGAACAAATGAATCAATACCTTTGAACTGATTCTATCATTGTTTCAGTTTCAATTCAATTTAGTTATTTATAAGTTAGCAATATTACATTAAACTATTGCACTTTAAATAGACACACTCAAATCACAATTCGAGAATCTAATTTGATATAAAACTTCAAAGCAAATTCAATCCGTGAACAACTCAAACCTCAAGTAGACATCTTTAACATCCTGTTTGAATTAATACATTCTGTATTTCATTACAGCCATGGCAAGAATCACATAATGTTAATTAATCCATCCAAAATCAAACTTCGTAAAACCTTTTTAAGGCCCTGAGTGAAACATGTATTCAGCTAGTCTGTTACGGGAGATAGAGTCTGACCGAGATGAAATGTCATTTGAAGGACTTGTCTTTCTGTGTGCTCGCGCTTACCAGGTGTTTCGATGTGCTGGGTGTATTAGTCGGGCTATCAGGTTTAAATTGCAACAAATTTGTGGGGCTTTTCATGTAGGACCGACCATTTTAAATGCAATTTATGAGCTATAATGGCCATGTAGAAATCGTATTTCAACTCTTATCACGCAACCTTTTGAAAGCTAGAAGGTATTCCAAACTGACATGCCCCAGTTTTGCAACCGTCATTATTTGTCTTGACAAAGGCAAGGGCTAGCACATTGTATGACTTTGCACACTTTGAACTGTAGCATGGTTTCAATTTACACCTGCTAATGCTATTCAATCGATTCATAATAGTGGATATTATTGATAGTATATGTTTCATATCGTTTCATAGGTTTCTTACAAATGTGGATAAGCTTTTGACGCTTCTATTCATACTGTACTGTTAAAGGTCACATGCAACCTTAAAATCAAGCATAATTATAACACAATTATCACTTATTCATAACATATACATTGCTGATAATATCATCAATGGGAATAGGTGAAAGAATTATCATTCTCTATGCTGACTGTGTTTTCTCCAAGGATGTGACCTAGTCTTTCGCACCAATGCCAAGTACGACAGGGACCATCACACTGAAGCAAAAAAAGGTGAGGTCTTTCTTCAGTGAGTGAAGAATACATTGGTCATCGCTTTGCTTGCAATCCACCAAACAGCAGGATCCAAGCAGCAGGATCCAAGCAGCCGGATCCAAACAGCAGGATCCAAGCAGCAGGATCCAAACAGCAGGATCCAAGCAGCAGGATCCAAACAGAAGGATCCAAGCAACAGGATCCAAGCAGCAGGATCCAAACAGCAGGATCCAAGCAGCAGGTTCCAAACAGCAGGATCCAAACAGCAGGATCCAAGCAGCAAGATCCAAACAGAAGGATCCAAGCAGCAAGATCCAAGCAGCAGGATCCAAGCAGCAGGTTCAAAACAGCAGGATCCAAGCAGCAGGTTCCAAACAGCAGGATCCAAGCAGCAAGATCCAAACAGAAGGATCCAAGCAACAGGATCCAAGCAGCAGGATCCAAACAGCCGGATCCAAGCAGCAGGATCCAAGCAGCCGGATCCAAACAGCAGGATCCGAGCAGCAGGATCATTACAGCAGGATCCAAGCAGCAAGATCCAAACAGAAGGATCCAAGCAACAGGATCCAAGCAGCAGGATCCAAACAGCAGGATCCAAACAGCAGGATCCGAGCAGCAGGATCCAAGCAGCAGGATCCAAACAGCAGGATCCAAGCAGCAAGACCCTGAAACTTAGTAGCCTAATCGGAGTTATGGTGACGTGGCTGTGACAGATGAAAATGGCTTTTTCTTCCACGGCTGCTAAACAACTCCTGAATGACGTCATCAATCTAAGCCAGTGCATATTTATTTTTTTTTGGTCAGTGTACATGCCCCATACCACTGTGATCTGAAACCGATATATGTTGTTATAGGCTGTCGTTAAAGGTGACATTGGATGGCTTTTCGCAACTTCAAATTAATATTTAAGATCACGTCGGCAATGTCTCAGCCATACCGTGACGAAATCAATTCATACAATAAAGATCAAGACATGTTAAAGATTAAACCCCGTTAATGAAGGACAGTAAAACATCCAGGATATCACAGATATAAATCTAACCTCGTAGTTGGAATTAAATCTGTGATATCCTAGTTGATTTTACTGTGGACCAAAAAAATATAAAAATGGTTAAAGATTCTTAACAACTGAAGGTAGATCAACCATACTTTGGACCATGGGGACTTAAAGTGCTTTTGCTTCCTTCATGGACCCTAGCTGGATTTACACCATCCCCTCATCGGTTTGCATTTTAGAAAATTCTAGCCATAAATAGAAGAACACATATTCTGCGATTAAAAACGTGGTAAAATTAGATTTACTTCAAATGTTTTTGGACTCACGCATCCTGTCAGGAGAAAAATTATGTTCACAACGTGTAATTACTGCATGTTCAAGAGCTAGTAAATGAATCCCCTGGTCGGGTATCAGTGGAGACATGACAGCGTTGTCTTAATAATGTCAAAAACGAGATAAAATACTGTTAACAATTTAGATGGACTTCAGCAAGCATCAGTTCTACCCTTAGTTGTGATCATGTGATTATCAGCGGTGTCACCAGCAATTCCCACAGCAAGATTTGTGTCATGAGCGAGTCAGACTTACACATAATGTTAACACGAGAAGACTCCATTTTTGCTGTCATCCCGTCTACCGTTAAGTAGCACGTGCTGATGCCCCAACCTACTTTCATCACTAACCCCAACCCACACAATAACCACCGTACCCCATCCTATCCCACCCCACCCAAGGTCCACTAAGGACATATAATGTACAGATATCAAAATGTTAGTTCCTTGAAGTACGTGTTTTTCCTTGATGAGTATACAAATAACAAGTAGGAGATATTGTTGGGACAATGCATTAATTGAAACGTATGCACATCTTGAACATCTTATCTGAATGAATAAATGTTCCTTTTCAAACATGGTAAGGGTCATATGACTGCAAATTCATCCATTCTTCCCAGAAACAGACTGTAACAGGAATGGTTTATGACAACATGATATACATTTAACAGGAGCTTGGTACAATTTCAGTAGCCTTTCCTTTAAAGGTGTATTCGGCTAGTCCGTCACA